TGCACTCAGTACACATGATTGGACGCAGAAAAAAAATAAAATGAAGCATCTCGAGGGATACCAGTGAGTGAGTGAGTGAGTGAGTGAGTGAGTGAGTGAGTGAGTGAGTGAGTGAGTTGGGTTTAACGCTGCTTTTAACAGTATTCCAGTTATATCACGGCGTGTCAGCTTAATGTGGGAGGAAAGCCCGAAGTGATGCAGGTCTAAGACGTTTACCACTTCGGTGAAACCCACTAGCACGGGTATGGTGCTGACAAACCTAGAGACATAATCGGGGCGAACCAGGATTAGAACCCACAATCATAGGTTTCTGGCAAATCGCGGCGCCTTAGACAACTTGGCGACCCTCGAGGGACACAAAAAGTATTCTTGTTCCCAATTCATGACAAGAAATATAGAGGTAAAGTAATTATCAAATCTTACAGTGCACTACACCACAGTTTCATTACTTTACAGGAGCCTCATACATGTCACATTAATGACCCTTGAAATTAATTATTGGGGGTCCCCTGGACTTCTGGTTTTGTAGGTCAAATAGGACAGTATGTAAGTGTATGTATACATGTAACCATAAACACATATTGACTGTTAATGTATATATGTGTAATAATTCACACTTATTTTATATTAATAATAATATACGGTAATAATCATAATTAGGATCAGCACACAATTGTATACATTGTATACACAGAGGTTATCAACAAAGATAAAGACCTGCTCAAAGGCTGATATTCAGACCAGGGGTCCGGAAACCGTCATATGCGCCGGACATGTCCGATTGGGAATCTCAAATGTCCGGTTTAAAATATTGCTTACCGGACATTTAAATTTTTCTGTCCGGACATTCTTAAATTTTGACCGGACATGATCAACATGAATTTCAGACCCATGTCAGTTAAAAATACCCAAAACTGGAGAAACAAAAATTTAGTTTCTGTTAATAAAGTCAAAACAAATGCTATGGCTTTTAGGGGGTGACTTGTATACCACAGATAACAGGACCAATTAGAGAAAGAGGCATTGATGCCTAGTTTTTCATTATTGCAAAGAATGCAATGTTAAAATACCCCCGAAGTTAGGAAAATAAAAACTTTAAAAATATTCTAATAGCAAACAAAATAAGGATGTTTCCCCAATTTCCTTGCCAAGAGTACTTAGTTCACAGATAAATCCCTGTTACATTAACTTGGGATTCACCAAATTCAACAACAAATACTGATCAGCACTAGGGCGTAAGGCGCGGACCAAAGATGTATTCTTTCTAGAATCCTGTGCTACAATCCAGTCCAAACAAAATTCTTTGAATAACATGAATTGTGTTGCCATGGTTATTGGGGCTGACAAACAGTCCAGCTATTCTTTAACACATTTACCTGATGACCACTTGATCATCATAACAAGATATAATGTTTAGGCACTTAATGATCACCTGGTTAAGGACGTGCATACACCCATAATTAACGACTACCATCTTGCCAATAATCAATTCTAAATTGCCCTCATTGCCCACTCCAAGGTTTCAAATTGTCACAATGTCAAATAATATGTTTAACAAGATCAGACATGCCCAAGCAGAGACAACAACAACAACAACAACAACAACAACATCAATATTCCATTTGCATTACACTTTTCCATAATGGATGTCATGCTCAAATGTTGAGCGCTTTCAGTGATGACAACATATAAACCTTTTGTGACGTACCATTACTGTCGTAAACTTTCGGCATGCAATCCCTAAGTAGAAAGGCTTAATGTCAATATTCAATAATGGCTCCGCTTTAATTGTAAGACATAAATGCAAGGTAGGTATATCTAAAATTTGCAATAGCTATTAGAAATTATATGAGGTGATTTGGGGTACCGGTAATATTACCAAGTGTTAGGCTGTTACTATCACGAGTTACTGTCAAAAGGGCCATCAAGTAACCTAGTGGTTAACATGGTTAAAGTGTTTGCTCGTTAAGCTGAAGATCAGGGTTCGATCCCTGACATGGGTACAATGTGTGAAGCCCATTTCTGGTGTCCCCACTGTGATATTGCTAGACTATTGGTAAAAGCTGCATAACACCATATTCATTCACTCACTCACTCACTCACTCACTATTTACAAAAAGTGAATTTTTCAACAATATGAGTACAGTAATTGTCATTATCAGAATTGACGAGTACAAGACACATTTTTTTCAAACCAATGAGCACCGTACAGTATGTTTTGTAGAACTGACGAGTACTGGTATGATAAACTGCCATCATTCAGAGACCATGTGTTGTACATTCAGATTTTGTTGCTAAACTAATGTCAGCATAATCGAGATGAGAGAATTTGAGTGCATTACCTATTACTGTACTTCTTTGAGAGGGATTTAGAAGTTGGAGTGCTAAGTAAGGATAAGATATATGGATGAACAAATTGTAATAAAGAAGTTGTTCATCCATATATCTTATCCTTACTTAGCATTATTATTAGCTTATCACAATGCAGACTTGTGAGGAAATCCATTTGCTGCTGACATAAAATTATGTTTTTCTAATTTAATTGGAGGGTTATGCTTAATACTGTAAACAGAAGTTTAACGATGTCTTGAAGAAGGGTTTTGAGAAGAAAATCACAAGGCATGGTAGCAAATCAATCTTGCAAGCATATAGTATTGTTTGTCCGCGAATGTGATATGATTGTAATTTGCTATTCATCATATTTGACTAGTTTTCATCAGTGCAATACACATCTTGAACACTATCAGGTGCTTTTCTCTGCATAGTTGGTGTTTGTATGTTTGTTTGTTTGTTTGTTTGTTTATATGATATATGATGCCGGTCTGTAAATAATCTAGTCTGGACCAGACAATCCAGTAATTGATATAATGAACATCGATCCACACAATTGGGATCGATGACATGCATCAACCAAGTCAGCGAGTCTGACCACCCGACCCCGTTAGTCGCCTTTTATGACAAGTATAGTTGCCTTTTACAGCAAGTATGGGTTGCTGAAGACCTATTCTACCCCGGATCTTCACAGGTTGCATAGTTGGTGAGAGTAGTGGGAATTTCATAGAATATCGCTGGACCACATGCTCTTTTATCATTACTGTAAGCGTAACTAACTTCTCATTATATGCATATTATCATGGTCACTGTAATTACTCTGTTATATCAGCATTATTCTAATGCAATATGTAGTGTATTTGTAAGACTATATATCACGCCTCTTACGACAACCAGAATTGCCTTTTACGGCAAGCATGGTTTGCTGAAGACCTATATGACCTGTACCTAAACTGGGAGGAACACCAAGAAAAGATGTTTGGTTTGAACACTGACTTATTCATAACAATCACAAGCTACATGGTGATGACGTCTTTTCTTATGCTGGGGAACGTGACGTCATCAGAGATGACAGCGTGAGCACATTTGCGCTCATATATTAATGTAAACAAAACACGAATATATTTTCATCAGTTAATTCTTGTGTCTTCATTGGAACTGAGGAACAGCGTATCTGTGCGCTGTGTTTCTGGCCATATATCCATCTATTTTGTACACTTAGTGCCAACATCGAGAGGTTACCAGATTAGCAACCCAAATCAGAGATGACAACAGCTCAAATATATACCTCTACAATGAATTTCATATAGCTTAACATTGACTTATAATATATGCAATGCTATAACCACTTGCTACTCACGCAATATACATGATATATGACAGTATATATCTGCTACTGACACTTATTTGACAGAACTGAATGCTTATAAGACATGTTTGATATTTGGACTAATTAGTACTCACAATTACTACATATCAAATTCAGTTAAGTAATGCTGACAATATTCTTCTTGGTTATGATGAGAGAGAATAAAATTTTAAATAAAGCTTTTGGCAATATTTGGATTATGCTACAGTACAATGGATACTGCAGAAGAAATTGACAGCAAATTATTACTATTTGCAATATCATTACAACTATATACAAGCAGAGCTCCAGATAAGCTGCGTATCTGCGAAAAATACGCATCAGAAATGCAGAAATATGCAGTAAAATAAAATCCAAGCGTATCAAATATGCAACGAACATTACAGATACGCTACAAAAATTAAACTTGTGCGTATCATCAAAATATTGTGAAGTAACCCTGCGTATTCAATTAGCAAATCAGCAACTTTTTAAAAAATTATAAACGGGCATTCCATCAACCTTGCCAAACTCCACGATGACAGTTACATCATGATCATTTGCCATCACACTTTCTTGTGGAAGTATTGTAGTATTTTTGAGTCCTATAAAGCTCTCAAACCCACACGACACCAGTTTGCAGGGACTAGATGAATCGTGTTTTTAGATATCTAACTTAGTAGATACCCACATGTGTAAAAACTAGTGGGTAACAGACATTTATATACCCAGATAGAATTACTGATACCCAATGATTTTAAAATGCATGGGTAAAAATGTAAAATACCCACAACACCAAAAGCTTATCTGGAGCTCTGTACAAGTCTCACAATTAGTATAGGCTAATTATTGTATATTTTGTACATAAAATGTGTCACATACTGTTTTGGGAATCGTCTCGGTCAGTTTTCATGTATGCATACTTTATTAAGAAAACAGTGACTCAGGCACATAATATTTCAGGTGTGGCATGTAACGAAATTACAGGTGTGTCACTCCAGATTTGGAAATTTCAGGGAAGTTCAACAAGTAAATTTATATTGATGAGCAATTATAATTGTTTTATTGACCAGCTTAAACATTCAACCCACGAGTCATGTCCAGCTGTAGTCCATTCGCAGTCAAACACCAAGACTGGTCACCGCCCTTCGTTAACTTAGCCACTAGGCCGCCATTTTGATTACAGGCTAGCGTTTTCGTAGTGTGAACATCGCTAAATATCCCACTTACAGGTTAAAATTCATTTCCTAAGATACGTGAAAACAAACATTGAGGTAATTCCTTGCTTGAGGAAGGATATTGAAGATCTTGTGCAACTTACCATGTTTGTAAACGACAAGCGCACCAGAGAGCACCAGAGTGTGTTGACAATCGGTTGTGACGTCACAGCTCAACCGGTTTACCTGTGCGACCTAGATCAAACGAAATCCCAAACTGTCGATGCACTGCATAACAAACAGGGGCCAGTACACAACACACTGGTGTTAGGCCGTGTGGGCATCAGCTTAAATTTTAAACCTGTCCGGGATGTTGTTGCAGAAGGTTAAACAATTTCACAATTCCAGGTTTGCTATTTGCGTAATCAAATCTCATTTGACAGTGTGGATAATATTGATACCAACAGAGGATGTGTTTTAAATATTATCAGGTAATACCTCAGGTCCGTGCACCAGACTGTCATTTTTTAGCTAATTTCCATACACAACGAATTAGAAAAGAAAACGAAAGCAAATGTAGAAAGAAAGAATTGTGTTTAAAGTAACACCTTTCATCTCGGAACCTGGTGTCTGTTTGTTCTCTCCCACTCGCTCACACAAAGACCTCACCTTAAGCCAAAGGATATCCCCCTGTCCCCTCCCCTAAAACACAACAACAACAATATATATAAATATATATATAAAACAAATTATGAAAATATATAATTACAATCCAAAACAGGTGGGCGTGTGTTATATTATATATGATTAAAAGCACAGTGTAGTCAAAATAGTCTATTGAAATTTTCTTATTTGAAGAAGACATTTTTATTTATATTTTAAAAATTATTTCGATATTTTTTTCGCCCCATCCTTCATGTAATTTGCAATTGAACAGTATATGCTTCCTCAGAGCATTTTTTGTGTGTGTTTACAATAATAATTCTATCAATGTTTTTGTTCTGTTCAAAGAAGTTTATTTAATAAATCATGCAATTCTACCGAGCGATGTTTTGTACTTTGCACACGTTTTGGTCAAATGTCAGGTTATATACACATGTCCCATTAAAAATGTACACCGTTTGGAACGAAAACAATATGACTTTCCCTTTGTGACCAATGCAATAAACACACTTATAAACCTACTGCCCCTTTTGCCTATTGTATTGTAGTTATCTTTCTAACCTCTTCACGCTACCCAGATATGTGTTGACAAGTGGCTTGTTGTGTGACTCAGCTAGAAGATTATAGAATCTGTAAAACCATACACCCCGTATAATTATTATGTTTAGTTATTAATAAATTAATATGTTCATAGTTACTTATTTCTTTTTATTACCTGCGAGGGCAAACACATCGGGGTTCATAAAAATCATATGTGACCTAGGGTCATATCACGTCACGAGACAACAGTGTATTGTTTCCATCATCTGGACGGCAATGTCTACGTCATTCGAATCTTATTGTGACGTGAGATCGGAATGACGTCACACTAGAAATAACGTCATACGTCATTGTTGACGTATAATCGACACATTGTGGTTCCGCTGCTGTTGCGACTTGTTGTCCTAAAAGGTAAACACTAAAATTCGTCTCTTATTTAGAAATCTTCTTCAGTAACAGATAGAACATCATATTCGTGCTCATGTCATACTATGTTTACGACACGAGTGTCTAAATTCCGGTATTTATTCTCTATGTATGTAGATACAGACCCGCAAAATATTTTGATTATAAGTTCATGTTGTTTGTGTTTAGTATGCAGCCCCATATTATTTAATAGCACGAAACCACAGCGCATTTAAAATCTCAACCGTCTTATAAATGAGTCACTCTGTTAAACAGGTGGCAACTATACAATGTGATGTGTTATTCATTCCAATACTAAGTACTCTGATTCATAAGTAGAACTGCCAAACGCCCGTCAACAGTAATATTTACAGGTCGCTAACTTCACTGGGGCCGTTGATCTATGTATTCAGTAAAACCAGTTACATTTAAACCATATCAATATAAAGTTTCAAAGAAGATAGGATAAACTTTCATGCCGTAGAGATTGAATAAAATAATATATAATATGAACTGTGAATACTTTGGGTAACTCTACAATACTATAATATTCACGATAAGACCATCTTCCCGAGGCAAGGGAGGTAACTCACTGTAAAAGTGGAAACTGGATTTTTATAGTCAGTTAACTCCCTTGCCTCGGGAAGATGGGTAAGGGCGGACATGAAATAAAGTAAGCTTCACACATCAATGCTGTACGTTTCAGAGTTTCATATGATGTGATTTTCATCCACAATACTCCCAAACATCTTTTCAGGAGTCATATATGCCACAGCATTATTTAAAAAATGGTTTCATTTCCTAATAAAACACCTAATTGGCTGTAAAAAAAAGTTTGTCAATGCCTGTCGACATGTTGACTCATGGTTGAACTACATGATCAGCTCTATCATAGGTCATTCGTGACTCCAGGGAGTCTATTTCTAATAGAAATATTAGATATATAGATAATACATATCATCACTTAATGTCTCCCTTGTGACTTCCATCATATTACAGCTTCCATATATAAAAAGTCAATGCCAGAGAATAACCAATCTCAATTATCCGTCGAAATAGATTCCATAAAAGGTAAAAATATGTAAATTACAGATATAATTTATTGTAGTCTATTAAGGTTAATTTATGACTCTAAATTGTGCTTATGACCAAACCAAATATGCAGTGAGTCATGATGACTCCCGACCGCCTCCGTGGTCCAGTGGGAGCGCGTTCGCCCGGAGAGCGGAAGTTCCTGGGTTCTATCCCCGGCCGAGTTTACCAAAAGACGTTAAAATATGGTACTTGTTGTTACCCTGCCTGGGGTTCGGCCTTAAGGGGCTAATAAGTGCAATAATCTAAGACGCGACGTAAAACCTCGCCATGATGACTCCCAGTTTTCATAAGGTAACTGGATTCCTATATGGTCCTCAAAGATGGGCCAAACCGACTATGACATCGAGGAACTGAATACACTTATGTGTAAATAAACAGATAAGTTACACTAGCCCATGGTTCGGTCAACATTTACAGGACGTGTCAACCCTTGAATCTGTTTGACAACCATACCGCATGTAGGTGAGTGAGGTGTTTGTGCGTGAATATGGGTCAGTCATGGCGTCACACAGGACGGAAACTTCGACAATTTCTATTGAAAATATCAAATCATTGCAATTTTTAATTCCCCAATTCTTCCTACGATTCTCTTCCCACGTATATTCTGAAAATGTTGAGCCAATGTATTCAACGAATAGACGAATGTCTTTGTTTACATTTCCATCAAGGGCAGTTTTTCGAGCACAGCGTTCGTTTTCAAACCTCATTTATTTGGCTTGATTTCATCTAGACTATTTGTATATTGGTGACAAAGATGATTTGTCATTTGATTCTAAAATGTATGAGGAATTTAAGGATGCATGTATCGCCGCTGATTTTGAAATATACGTGATGATATTGCGTCTCATTACCGATGTACGTATAACGTGATTTTGTAAACACTAACACGTATGACACATAACGACTGAGCAACTAATAGGCGAAAAGCCCCAGTGGCAACAAACTGAAGGAAAATCAAAACTTGAATAATAGGTGGGAGACTGAGTGGAGTGTGCCAGTTCATCACCGTTTAAACCAACGATGAAAATAATGGTAGAACGGCGAAATCTATATCTTTCAAAGAGCTCTCCGTCGTTGCACACATCAAGAGGGTTGAAGCGGCCTCGAAATGTCCCCTGAATTGGTATTTTTGTCCTTTTTAGCCCTGAGGCGAACAACCTCCGCCATCTTTCTTGCAACAAATTTTGTCTTAAGTCTACTCAAGGGCAGTCTCAGTACTTAAGATCAAATTTTGTCTTAGACTTACAATATTCTCACAGATTGAGCTTCGAGATCCCCGATTTTCAGACAAAATTTGGTCTTAAGTCTAAATCCCCATGTGGGGAATCGAACCCGGGTCTTCGGCGTGACGAGCGAATGCTTTAACCACTAGGCTACCCCACCATCCCCTAGTATATGGATAACTGCGGTATATAAAGGTATAGTACATATAATAATTATGATAATAATACCCATGTAAGGAATCGAACCCGGACGAGCGAACGCTTTCACCACTAGGCCACCCCACCGCCCCAAAGCCATAATGATATAGTAGTTACAGTGTGGACTGAAACGTAAGTTAGTATTCACTCTGTCACTTTACCTAAGGCAATTATACAGTGATTATTAGATTTTAATTCAAATTTTTGACAAAATGTGAGGTGGGAGGCCTTTTTTAAATTAATGTTTGTTATTTAAAAAAAACCAAAAAAAAACTGCTCTACTCTGGGCTGATGTAAAGAAAGAGCGGAACACATAGCGACTTTCATCGGCTTTACACACCGATGTAAGGAGGGATGTTTGGAAATGACGCCACGGAGGTCGGGGATAAAATTCTAAAAAATAATTTATTATGGCCAAAGAACACCTGATCCACGAGTGCCGTGATCGATACGTTTCACCGTTTAGAAGGTATTATAGAAAACTGTATTGCAGATATCCGATATCAGGGCCCCGTATGTGTTTTATACCTCAAACAATGTCCACAATTACACACGCCATGTCCACAATTACACACGCCATGTCCACAATTACAACGCCATGTCCACAATTACAACGCCATATCCACAATTACAATTTCACTCGTTCACTCACTCGATCTTCATTATCATTGTTCATTTGTTTTGTTGTTGTTGTTTGTTTTTAAGCTTTTGACATAAATAAACCACGCAGAGAGTTCAAAACAATCGATAAACTAATCGAGTCGTCGTTTCCTTCCTCGTGTGTACGGAGACAGCGACAGGCTGGTAGTGAAAAGGGAGATAACTCGTGCAACACTACTCCGCGAGTTTGGATCAATACTGGTAGAGGGGCGCTTGTTTCTGGTCACGGTGTTGGTTACCGACGATACCACGTGTGCCCACTGAGATGGCAGACGGTCTATCCACTGGACCACAGAGGCGGTAAACCACAAAACCAGTGAAGTTGAAATTCAAGCTTGTTCCCACGAATGACGATACCCCAATTTGTTCAAGAGGTTCGAATCCGGTTTTCGACATGACCGCCTTGTCAGGACTTTTGAAAAAGCTGTTTATGGAGTTTACCCGGTCATTTGTGTTCAAAATGGAAAAAAAATATTGGGTACAAGTGGAGTTAGTTGTGGGGTCAATATATAT